CTAGAAGTCCTTTGTGTATATATTATAGCTTCCAGTTTAGTGGTTTTATGGAATTCCTGGGTGTCAAAATGAGTGGATCTGATTTTTGTAGCTTCTCTTCAGCTCTTTCCCTTCTGTTTGCTTGTCCAATTCCGATGTGTTCGTTTTTGCTTTATCTTTTATTCATTTTATTTTATTTTATTATCTCATAGAGGCCTGTTTGAGAGACAGAAATGGGATGGATCTAGATGTCTGGGGAGTTAGGGAGGAGCTGAGGGGAATAGAGAGTGGGGAAACCATAATCCGGATGTTCTATGAGAAAACAGTCTATTCTCAATAAATGAAAAACAGTCGAGAACATGTGAGTTGGCGATGCCTTTAATGTCCAGCACTTGGGAGGTAGAAGTCGGTGGATTTCTATGAGTTTGAGGCTAGCCTTGTTTACATATGGGGTTCTAGGCCAGCCAAGGCTACACAGAGAGACCCTGTCTCAAAAAGGAAAGCTAGGATGGGAGGTCAAGAAGAGGGAGCAGGGAGGGAGGGAGGGAGGAAAGGAGGGGGAGGGGGAAATGGCTGAGAATCATGGAGACAAGACCTTATAAGCAAGCATTCCTGATAAATGTTCTCTGTTCTGCCCAAGAGACAAGGCTATGGACAGTTTGGAAATTATATCAGATTGTATGTAGGATGGGTACAGGTAAATTTGAGGAACCTATTAGAACTATGGGCTGGATTTCAGAAAAGCAATCTGGACACCCTATGATTAAGAGGTCAGGAATAAGAGGCAAAAGCTCCAGGAAGATCATGGCAGGAGCTTTCAGAGCCTTTGAGGAAAATGCAGGCCGCGGTGCTCTCTGGGCCTGTGAATGAAAAACTGTGCAGAGGGAGAGAAATCAATGGTGGCCCGCACTGCTTGAGGGCCACGGGGAAACACAGCTGCCACAGGTGGTTTGACAGGGTCCATGTTGTGACCGTGCAGAAGGCAAGTCCTAAGACTTGGTTATTGAGCCTTGAATGCCAAGAGTCAGAAAAAGCTTTCGATCCAAGTGGACAATTTTCCTTGTGGCCAGCAGGTGTAGAGAAAGAACTCCTGACAAAGGAACTGCATTTTATTTTCACAGTGGATTTCCCTCTGGGTAAATTTTTGGTCTTCACCAATGAGCACAGCCAGTGTATATCTCAAGCATATCTGCGCTCTCTCGTTCTCTCTCTCTCTCTCTCTCTCTCTCTCTCTCTCTCTCCCTTTACAGATATGTGGCAGCTCTAAAACCGTTTCTTCCTGGTGTCACCAGTTTGAGAAACAGAACTCCCAGGTGAGAGCCTAGAGAGAGAAATCAATGCGTTCAGCAGGAAACGGGACATTTACTGGAGAAATAAAAGGATTGTGGGGACAGAGTCAACATGAGAAGACTTAGACTTCAGAAATTAAAATCCACCAGGCACAGTTGACCAGCGTGGGTTTGCAGGAGAACTTCTGAATGTTCACTTAAAGACACGGGTACTACTCCAAATCTGTGCTCCACTGTGCGCTTGGTGTCCAGTTAAGGGACCAAATGAGACACACAACCTCACAAAACACTTTGGAAAATGAGTTAAGAATCGATAACACAGTCACCAGAATCAGAAAGACTTTGGCTTAAGAACTAACATTTTATACAGACTGAATATTTTATACTTAGAAATATTTGTGTATATATTGTGTACGCACACACACACACATATACACACATGCATGCAATAACTCTGGAAAAGGTCATGAATTTGGAGGAGAGTGAGCAGGGGTATTGGTAGGATTTGGAGGAAGGAAAAAGAAAAAGGAAATGTAATTATACTATAATCTCAGAAACTTTATAAAGATAAACCAAAAACTGATAATATTAAGGAAATAAGACATTATTCATATAAGTATTTTTAGCTTCAATATAATTAAGGCCTAATAAATGTTTATTATTGTGGAATTCGAGATCAAGTGATATCATTATATATGTCTATATTTTTTAAAAAGGAACTTGCAGTGTAATTAGAGTAAGTTTATTCCTAGAGTCAAGGACCCTCATCCGTAAGATCAGTAATGATACAGAAAAGGCAAAGAAGTTCTAGGACCTGGACAAGACAACGGCAGAGAAACATCTTCCGGCCTTACTCGCAAGGAAGATACTCTGTCATTATTGATCCCTGATTAGTATGGGTAGTGACGGCTTGTTCCTAGACTTTGCCATTGAATCCTTTCCTTTTCCTCTCTGTGTTGACCCCTCTCCGATCCCCTGCTGTATCATGTCAAGGATGCACCCGCTCAGACGGACTAAGCGTCCTCCTTTCCCCATCAGAGACAACTCCTCCCTGTGTCTAGGGGACACAGCTGATGTTGCACGGGGGCAGGCCAGCTAGGGAGGTCCCTGGGGGAGTCTAAAGTTGTTTCCGCAATGTTATGCTCCATTTCCGATTGAAATCAAGAGTTCTAGATTTTTGAACATGCGCAGTTGACCGTTTCTGGTCTCGAGGTCAGTGCTGAACGACACAGACTGTTCTCACCTTAGAAAACCATTGAGTTCTTTGTTCACATAGAAGGCAGGTTTTATTCCGACCGAAGAGCTGCGGGCTGAAGTTAGGTCTCATTTGACCTTCATACGAAGCAGAAACGAGCTAGACCTCTGAGAATCTTTACCTGTTCTGTTTTTTCATGTTTTTCCCCCACTCGGTTGTTTTTTTGTTGTCTTATTTTTTTTTTCTAGTGTAACACTTGGTTTTGTTGTGTTACAAAGTAAGTTTTGAGTAGTGTTTGCCAGAGAGAAGACACAGAAGATGGGGGCAATATTTCTCCGAGTGTGGACAAACTGCCTCAGGGAAACACTGACCTGGTTCTAACAGAATCCCCAAGGCCGATTCCTGTCCGGAGTTGCAGCCATGAACACGTGGGAATAGCACCCTCTCGTGGGAGATCCTGAGTATAGCAGCAGTAGGTGTCTCCAGACAACTGCAGGATGGGCAGATTAAGAACTAGAAAATGCAGCCTTTAATCCCAGCACTTGCCGCTGAGGAACCCCCTTAGGGACCAGCAAGCCCCACTGCAAGCCTTGGGTGTGAGAATGTCTCAACACGCTTCGAGAGACATTCTAATTGGGATGCTAATATCAAAATGCTCTAATTTGGTATACAAAGAACTTGTTCCCACCTCTGAACCGCATACAGGAAAAAATAGGACACAGTGTTTCTCTCAGACTAGGGTGACCCAGGAGAGGACAGTGATTTGTGCTTGATGTGTTGAACTCTAGTCTTGGACCAAGCAATTAATGCTGCAGGCAAGCTGCTCAAGTTCTTGGAATAATAGTTTCTTACTGAGCAGTTCTGTTCTCTAAAATCATGGACCATCAGGAACAGTGCTGATGAAAGTGTCCCAGTAATCATGAAATGTCCAAGTCTTGTGCAAAAGAGTAAAATCCCTAACGGCAAAGCAGTGTTGATGCGTGTTCCAGCTGGGAGCTTCAGACGAGGGTATGGTGTGTGAGCACATTTGACACCATAGTTTCCAAGGAAACCGGTCTGCTTCATTGTCCAGGAGTGATGCTGGCTCCTTCCACCCACTAAAACACTACATTTGATTGCTCCTAAAACCTGCCCTTTCAGGATGGTCTCACCTTTCCTCTTTTCCAGAGAGACACTCTACAGTTCTTCTGACAGAGCTCTCCTTTCCTCCCCTCCTGCACACTGCAGTGAGTCGGTTAATCTAACTCAGTCACTTGGAAGTCTTGAATTGACTGGGCAAGGACAAGACTTGGTTTGGGTGTGTGAGTGTGTGTGTGTGTGTGTGTATGTGTGTGTGTATGTGTGTGTATGTGTGTGTATGTGTGTGTGTATGTGTGTGTATGTGTGTGTGTGTATGTGTGTATGTGTGTGTATGTGTGTATGTGTGTGTGTATGTGTGTGTATGTGTGTGTATGTGTGTGTATGTGTGTGTGTATGTGTGTGTGTGTGTATGTGTGTGTGTGTATGTGTGTGTGTGTGTGCTCCTGCACAGCGAGCGTTTATTCTACGGAGCCATAGCCACAGCCTGGTGGTTGCAACCCGTGTAATTATCTTCATACTGTTCCTTTCCATATGCAGAAATAATAAAGTCATCTAAACCAAAGAACAATCTAGTAATTTTCATACCATCATATAAGAAGCCCCTGAAGCCAGAAAATAACTGCTTATAATAATAATATATATCACATATATGTGCGTGTATACTATGATAAAGTATATATATGTGTGTGTATACTATGATAAAGTATATATATATTTTATAAATAAAAGTGTGTGTGTATATACTATGATAAAGTATATATACATATATATTTATATAAATAAAAGTATGTGTAGACTATGATAAAGTATATATATACATATATATTTATATAAATAAATAACACACACACACTTTTCTTTGACGTAACAAAAACTCAGGTTGTGCCTCTGAGAACAGTGGTCCAAAGGATGAAGGTTGAAATTTTCTCTCCTTTCAGATGTAGCTAAGCAAGATTAGTGACAATAAGCCCTGAATCACCTGTAAGTACTGCGACGTGTAAAACACTTGCCAAGCGCCATCATCTCCTTAGTCCTCCTTAGTGGTCCGTCCTGACAACAGATGGACACCCATATTTCCCACTGCACTGAGCAGAAGGAAAAGCCTTCCACCGCATCTTCCCTCCCTGGCCTCACTACACAGGGCATAGTGACCAGCGCCTCTGGGGTCCCCGACCGCGCTATTTCCTAGACCTCTGCACTGCGTTACTTCCACGTGTATCCGTGAGGAACACTGGTCCCAGAAGTCTCTTGCTTTTCTCCCCTGGGTGTCACCCTCCACACTGCCCTGAGTGATGCTGCCCTCTAGGTGTCCAGGCCATCCCAAGGTCTCTCCTCCCCCGCACGGAATCAGAGACTGGACGACCAAGGAAGCGCAGGAGACTGACAGCATATGACGTCAGAGGCTATGCCACAAAGCACAATGGGCACGCTCAAATTCGTGCAAAGCCAGCGCCACGTCAGAATACTCCAGCAGCCCGCGTGAAGAGAACTGAGGTCTCTCCAGCCAGCGACGAGAGCATTCCCGAGTAATGCGAGTGAGCCACCGTCGCCAAACCCAACCACACCTCAGGTACTGAGAGCCCAGCCTTCTGCCCGAAGCCCAGGGTCCGCCAAAGACTGTGGGAGATAACAAAGCATATATAATATATATATATAAATAATAATAAATTTATATTTATTTAATATATAATTTAATATATTATTTAATATATACTATAAATAAATAATATATATACTAATGTTATACACCTGGGTGTCTGTGAAAGATGACTCTCATATATCCTGTGTTTGGAATACTCTTGGCGGCACTCCGTTTGTCTCAGAATAGCCAGTGGTTCAGCAGGCCTCTCACCCTGCCCAGAACCTCGACCTTTCTGGCCTGTTCTCTTCTGCCTTCCTGGCTACCCCAGCTTCAGCTGTAGCCACACCCTGTCATTCCTCAGGCGGCCTCTGGAACTCTTTACAGGCCACTCCTCCCCTATCTCTCTTTCCCCTTACTGCTGGTTAACATACCACAGATACCATTCCTTATCTGGTGCCTCTTATCTGGTTGTCAACTAAATCGGTACAGAGATTTTTTTTTTTTATCTGTTCCCAATGTCCTGAAGCATGCCTGGTTTATAACAGGTACTTCATAGAAATTTCATTAAATTCAAATAAATTCATGAAGATTTAGAACATAAGAGCCCCCAGTTACGTAAAGTGGCACAGCCTATATGTAACTTACTACTTATAAAGCTGAGGCAGGAGGATCCTGAGTCTGGAACCAGCCTTAGCAGCAGAAAAACAAACAAGCAAATAAATACATTAAGGGTTTGGGATAGGGAGAAGATTGCTGTCATAATGTTTGCCTAGCACGCCCTAGGCTCTGGACTCTATCCCTAGAGCAATACAGACTCAGCACACAGCTGCCTGGAACCTCACTTCCAAAGGCTACTCAGCAGCAGGCCTCAGTAGACACCTGTGCCAATATACAAAGAATCCCAGCCCCCTCCCCCCCGACACACACAGATAATTTAAATTCTAAAGAAAATAAAAGGTTTGGAAACACATCTAAGTAAGTAGTGTTAATGTTAATGCTTTCTTTAAGTTTTTTTTTTTTTGTATGTTTGTGTGAAGGTATAAAATCCCTGTATGTAGCTGGGAGATGTCTGTCCTGTGGGTGCTAGGAATTGAACCCAGGTCCTCTGGAAGAGCAGTCAGTGTTCTTAACCACTGATTCATCTCTCCAGTCCCCGAGTTAATGCTTTCTTAAACTCAAAGTAGGGGATTAAAAGTATACTTGGTTTATTTCTAGAACTGTTAACATTATAGGGGGTATAGCTTTAATTCCTGGTGAACCCTGTCTTGAAACTTTAGTAGAGATAACAATTTAATTCCTTATTGAGGTAACTTTTATTGTAAAACACTTTGTGTGGAAAACATGCCCCAGGAAGGGCAGAAATACTTATTACAAACTAGCACCATCAATCTTCAATAACTTATTCCTTCTGATTTTACATTGTTCTTGAAAATGTTTCGATTTTGTGATAAACTCCTCTTGAGAAGAGTATCTTCAAGATGATAGAGTTAGTTGATTTTTGATTAGTGGCTTTAAATGATCAATTCCCGACATCAATAAGGTGACAAGGCCGTATTAGCAAACAATCAATTCAGTGAGGAATGAAAGACCTCAGTGGTGGTGACAGGGAGCATCTCATTACCCCATCTAGAAGGTAGATATTGAGAAAGTCAGGCCCTGGATAGGTGGGTGGTGGCAGAGCCACATGAAGAGACCTGGTATATCTCCCTGTTCAGTTTTCCTCTTCAAGTTACTGACATGGAACAATTCAGGGGACACTCAGAAAACCCACGCACGCCCGGTGCTCGGACCATCCAGGAAGGCAGATGTGTCTCTGCCCACTCCCTTCACCTGGGTACGTTTGGACACCTGACCTAAGGCAGGTTTCTCAGTCCTTCCTCATGTCCAGGTGTCCAGGTGTCCCCTGTCCCATGGCCTCCAGAACAACAAGAATCCAAATGCAGCTCAAAGAAAGCATGGGGTGGCGCTGTATATTCTTCAAGAAAAATGCTGTCCTTGAGAGCAAGATCCAACTCCTGGGTGCCTTCAGCGGTCATGCCACAAGAGGAAGGGTGACATGCTGAGCCCTGTGTAAAGAAAAGGAAAAGATGAAGCCTCCCAGAGATCTACCGACGCCACAGACAGCCAGGAAAAGCAAGTAGTCACTGTTGTGAGGAGATTTATGCTCGCAACGTCAGCCTAGAAATCATTCAGTGGTGGTGCATGCCTTTAATACCAGCGCTCCAGAGGTAGAGGCCGACAGAGCGAGTTCCAGGACAGCCAGAGCCACACAGAGAAACTGTGTCTCGGGAGAAGGGGGGACCCACAAAGAAATACAAACAAAGAAAGAAAAGGAAGGAAATGGGCCTGAGTGCTGGGGTGAGATCAACGTGGATCATGGTTTTAGTTACTTTAACAGTCAGGGGCTTTCTCTATCTTCTAAGTCTTCTAGGAAAAAATTGACAGGATACTGTTGAGGCAGGGAGGGGGAGGGAAGGGAAGAAGAGGGAGGGGAGAAAGAAAGCAAGCTAAGGGTTTCACTTCTTCTAAAGCAGGAAAAAGCGGGATTGCATAATGCAATGAGATCAGCAGATCTGGCTGTGCCTCCACACCGTTCTTAATGTCTCATTATATGTGGAAATCATCCAAGCGGGAAGAAAGTGGAATGCCCAGTTTGAAATCGTTTAGAAAAGAGAGGACATAAGTAAACAGTTGACTGAAAGAAAGAAAGAAAGGAAGGAAGGAAGGAAGGAAGGAAGAAAGAAAGAAAGAAAGAAAGAAAGAAAGAAAGAAGAAAGAAGAAAGAAAAAGAACACTCCCACACTGCAAGAGGTCCTGACAGTGCAGAAATTTTTGGAGATTCAACTTGGAAAACTGAACAGATAACACAAAGTTCCCATTTAACCCTCTCCTCTCCTCTTAGCTGCCTTAGCATTGTGCCTTCGTGGGTTAAATTTGTTGAAGTTATGCAGCATTATTGAAGCATCAACACTACTATGAAAAACTAAATAAAAGCATAAACCTTAGAGTTAATCTTTGGCATGTGTTGTACAAGATGGAGTCTATTTAACTTGCTGGTCCAAGTTAGTTTAGGAAGAAAATAGATTCTCTGGTTCCTGAATGAAATATCATGCGACTATTCCACTGGGTCCAGTTTAGCTATGTCCTTCCTGGATGGTTCCCAATATCTGCTATTAAAGGAGAGCAGTGACGACCTAGTTAATTTCCCTCGTTACAATTTACTCGTTAGCCCCATGTATGTGGACACTACTGTAAGGCACATAGGCAAGGTCCTCATGTTTTATTAGGAAACTGACTTCTCTATCATTATTCAATGCTCCTCTTTATCTCTGGTTAATCCTCTGGTCTGCTCTACTAGGAAGATAAAATTGGTATCCCAGCTTCCTCTGGATCTTTGTCCATCTTTCTAAATCTATACAATTACACTGAAGTGAGTTTCTCACCAAAAACACATGCGTAGGGCCTGAATTCTAGTCTTTGTTACTCTTTCTCTTTTCATTGATCCCTCTTTTTTCTGTCTCCCCTAGTTTTAATTCCCTATTTGTAAGATTCTATTTTCTTCCTTTTCTTCCTATATCAATATACATCTTTCAGGAAACTTCTTAGGGGTGACTCTAATTGTTTTTCTTTTTTGATCTCACAGTAGACATTTTCAACTACGCTTAGTGTATCAAATAACACTGTGACTACAGAATCTAATGGAACCAGCGGAGTGTTTTCTGCTGGAGTGCAGAGCCCTAGGTGGTGACCCACACCCGCAAGGCCAGCACTCAGTAGACTGGCGCGGGATGATTAGGATTTTGACATCAGCCTGAGCTGTATGGGGGAGAACTTAAGGCTGGGATACAGTTCAGTGGTCGAGCATTTGCTTAATACACATAAGGCCATGGGTTCAATCTAGAATTATTTAAAAGAATTAAAAGTAACCTATTTTGCTTCCCAGGCAGGTCAGGTGCTGACTTGTGGACAGCTCCCAGGGCTTCCTCCTGCCCCTTAGACACTGCCATTCACAAATAACAATCATTTTTGAAAGCAAAAGATTTGGTTTCACCTTTATACCCTTTCTAAAGTTTTCCCTTCATGGAAGTCTGAGTTTCTGATCTATATTTCTTCTCTCTGAAGAATTTTAATATTTCTTCCAATGCTAGTCTACTGAAAGGTTAAGGGCTTTGTTTGTCTTAGGAAAGTCTTCATTTCTTCACTGAAGAAAGAAATCTCCAATCTTCACCTTCAAAACCCAGTGGGGCTTATAAAAGGAAGACTCACTGACCTATGGGTGCTGCCCAGTTCTCCTCCACTCCCAGCATCCCCAGCTATAGCCGCTGCACCCTGGTCCAGATTTGCTGATGACTCATGAAGCACCCACAGCCTGTCCCTAGCTCTGGGGACTCTTGTTCCTCTGGAGAGATGTGACTCTGGGTCCTCAACTGAGCTCCTCGGTTGTCAGGCAAGTACTTCAGCTGCGATCTAAACTCTCTAAAGAAGAGTGTTGGCTTTTGGTTTGCTCCATATTTTTCTTGTCATAAAGAGAAGACTTCCAAGTCATTGAGTGGCACGGCAAACCCAGAAACTGCAAGTCCTGGTGTTTTATACAGTTTGTAACTTGGACCACAGTAAAGGATGAAGAAAAATGGAGGCTTCAAATTAAATGACTTTCCTAATTTTATTTGAAAGGAAATGGATGAACCAGACAGAGGTCATAATGTAAAATGGTACATACTCTATTTTCTCTGATATGCAGAATCTAGATTTAAACATGAATGTACATGTGCATGATTGTCAAAGGGGGAAGAGGAAGAGGCTTAAGAGGATGGGAGAAGAGAGAATGAGAGAAGGTGATAAGGGGAAAACAAAGACTGCATTGTGTCTTCTCTATAAGTAGAGTCTACATTTACATGTGTGTACCTGTAAGAGAGAGGCAGACATAGAGGAGAGAGCAAGAGATAGGGTGTAAATGAGAGGAGAGAGACAGAGAGAGAGAGAGAGAG